TCAATAAGGAACATCTGTCATCAACTCTGGCAACAGGAAGGAAGGTACACTAAATATTTCAGGGAGTGAGGTGAGTAAGTTAGGCAACAATAAACACACTTATCACCCCACTCCAAGAAAGGCCCACAGAAAAACAAGACAGTTACACACACTGACTGTAGAACTATTCTATTAAATACTGTAGAGCAACTTGACTCAAGAGACCTACACTTACTTTTCATTGTCACTCTATTCCCTCTCTGCTGTGGGGTCAACTTTAAAGACTAGAAAAAGAAACCCAGGGTTAGGCTGGATAAGAAAGGGCCATACAAGGGCAGGAACTTGCTGCTCCACCTCTGAATGCTGCACGATATCTGGCCTGGCTTCATGCAGCAGCAAATGGGGACGAAGGATTCTAAGGTGACTGACATCTCACGCTAGATGCTTTATACAGGCATGTTCTTCTGTCCAGGATGCTTTCTCTCCCTTACTTCCTACTCTTTATTAATCTAGGCATCTCTTCTTCTATTTTAAAGTTTCAAGGTATATTATCTCCTCTAGAAGAGTTTCCTTGGACATCCCAGCAGAACCGTCACTCCCTCTTTTGTGTATCTACAGGTCATGTGTCTTCTTCTACCACGGTATGTTCGATATTGTTTGTTTTTGTGCTTGGCTAACTCCCCAAATGCTCTGCAAGAACGGTGTCTGGTTTATCTTTATATCCCTGACAACTAGCTCAGTACCCTGGCACACAACAGAAGCCCAACAAAAGTTTACCTATCTTACCCCGACTTTGGATCTCAGAATAAACACCACAGAGTCAATGTCACAAAGATTTTTCACAACACAGTTATCCAGGCTCATTAATAAGGGTTTGTGGTCCAAAGGACAGTTTATTTAAAACACAGATGATGAGGTATAGGAAGAAGAAAGGGGAATAGCAATTCTAACATAAACACATAGGAAGCAACTCAAACTTAAAAAAAAAAGGAGTGGGGGCAATGGAGGAAGCTATGTCTCATACAAACTGCTGACCTCAATTGATTACTTACATCCAAACCTTACAAAATAGGCATTTCAGGTCAGCACTTAAGCCAGTGTTATTAGATTTTCTTACAAAAAGTTAAAGCTACAAACTTCACATTTTTAAACTGTACATAGCAACAGCATTTAAGCTTGTTTTTTCCCAAGTTGGTCCGAGTGCAAGCTGGTAAAAGAGATTTTTTTTTCCAAACACAAACAAGAACATGTATTCCAAAGACAATGAATATAATACTGATGAAAACACAAACATAGTGCTTAAGAAAGGATGGGGTGAGGTGTAGATGTAGATTGGGCAGAAACAATTTTGCAGTAAATAAGGAGCTGCAATCTTTAGAGGCAACATGGTATGCTAGAAAGGGCACTGGAATAAGAATCAGAAGACCTGGATTTCAATCCTGGCTCTGCTATATTCTAGCCACATGACCTTGAGCAATAGACCTTAACTCTCTGAGCCTCAGTTTCCACATCTGTAAAATGAGGATAATAATACCTCTATCTATCAGCACTATTAAGTTTCTGCAGATATAAGGCTATTAAGACTATCTATTTCTTTTTTTTTTTTGAGAGAAAGGGTCTCCTTCTGTCACCCAGGCTGGAGTGCAGTGGTGAGGCCATGGCTCACTGCAGCCTCAACCTCCCTGGACTCAGGTGATCTTCCCACTTCAGTTTCCTGACCAGCTGGGACTACAGGTATGCACCACCATGCCTGACTAATTTTTTTTTATTTTTTGAAGAGACAGTATTTCGCCATGTTGCTCAGGCTAGTATCCATTGAATGAACTTTGGTACTTTTAATTTTTCCAAGAAATTTATCTATTTCACCTTTGAAGTTATTAAATTTATTAGCATAACATTATTCATATGATTCTATTAGCTTTTTAATATCCATAGGATGTATCATGATGTCACCTCTCTCATTCCTGATATTGAAAAAGACCTACTGAGTTTTACATGGTATAACTTTCTGGCATCTAATAGGTGCTAAATAAATGTTTCTTGGATCAAAATCTACAGTCTCAAGGAGTCAAGGCTACAATTTTTAAGCTGCTTCAGATGACTGGTTCTCTCTATTTATCAATACATCTATCTATCCATTCATCCACTCATCCATGCATCCTCCCACCCTTCCTCTTCCCTATCAAACTTTCATTCATCCAATTGGTGGCTTCGGGAAAGGGACAAAAAAGAAAAAAAAAAAGGGACTGTGCTTCAAAATTACTGAAGGAGCAACTAAGATATTCTTAAAGAATTCTGAGATTTCTTTAAAGACAGAATCAGGTCATTCTTTCTTGAAAGCAGAGAACAAGCAAGGACCTTGAAGTTCCCTGGAAGCTCGAGTTGCAAATGCTCAAGCAATGACTGAAGCCCAGGGCTCAATGAAAGCAAGCTGATATATCTTAAATTTAGCATTCAACAACAACAACAACAACAAAAACTAGGACTTGCTCCTTTGCCTTTCTGTCACTAGAAAACAAATATTCTTTATCAGGAAATTTCTCTGATCCAAAACAAATTGACTTCTGGCCAAAAGTCTCCATCTAGCTAGACTGGTAAGCAATAGACTGCTGGATCAGCAAGCTGAATGTACACTTGCTTGAAACAAAACAAACTCCAGATCAAAGTGCATGACCCAAGAATAGTTATGAGGGAAAACTGAACTTTCTTTAATGTGGATTTAGCTTAGGAAGGGAGAAAATTGGCTTTCTCTTCCTGTCTGGCCAATTGCAAAGTTCCTTGTTTAAAAAAGAAAGAGAGGCCAGGTGCAGTGGCTCATGCCTATAGTAATCGCAGCACTTTGGGAGGCCAAGGCGGGTGGATCACCTGAGATCAGGAGTTCAAGACCAGGCTGACAGACGTGGTGAAACCCTGTCTCTACTAAAAATACAAAAAAATTATCTGGGTGTAGTGGCACATGCCTGTAATCCCAGCTACTTGGGAGGCTGAGGCAGGAGAATTGCTTTGAACCTGGGAGGCAGAGGTTGCTGTGAGCCAAGATCACACCATTGCACTCCAGCCTGGGCAACAAGAATGAAAATCCATCTCATAAAATAAAAAGAAAAAAGAGAGACACAGAACTATTAATTTGCACAGCAAATGGTACAGGAGTGTGCATCCTGGATGCTTTGGTTTTAAAACTTACTTGGCTATCAGACTTTACTAATTCAGCTGTCTTTCCAACCTAAAAATGCCAGTTAGAGTTATTTAGTCTATGCAAGAAAAGGTGGTCACTTCATTTTAAACAGAGTTGTGACTTTCCTTTTTCCTACAAATGCTGATCCCCTATAGTGACGTTATGAGTTCTGATTCTATCATTTACTAGCTGCATGGCCTTGGGAAGGAATCTTTCTCTCTGAACCCATTTCTTCATCTATGAAATGGAGATAAAGTAGTTAAGTCACAGGGTTACTGTGAAGTGTACAGCCTACCCAGCTCAAGGCCTGACATATAATAGGTGGTCAACAAATGGTAGCTGCCATTTATTATTCCAGCAGGATCCTCAAATTGTCCTCTATTTTCCGTATCTGCCACATAGCTATTTCAGTGGCCAAGCCCTGAAGACTAACAACTGCCTCTTGCATATTTTAAAAACTTGCTTTAATTGCAAATAACAGAATCTGACCACAGAAGAGGCACATTCCCTGCCTTTCCATTGATTCCCAGGTTTCAGGAGCAAAAGCAATTACGGAGTCAAATTACAGTATCCTTAGATACAACCCAGTGATGATTCCCCATCTGAGGGAAAGAGGTATTGGAAGAAAATAAAAAGAGATTTGTCTTCCCCAGTTATCATAGAACTTTGCTGTGTGACTAAACACCATGTGGCATTAAGCCAACATTGCAGGAAGATGGCCCTATGCTGTCTTTTGCAAAGCCCTCTGATCTGCTTCAGGCCAGAAACCTGCCTCTGTGGGTGCTTGTCTGCCATTATCTGGCAGATGTTGCAGAGCTCAAGAACCTGCTGAAACTGAATGATCTGGCTCATCTAGGGAATCTCTTTACAGCCAGGTCACCTACTGAAGAGCCAAGGCAAGAGCAGGTTTCTGTTAGCAAGGTTCCGCTGGGACAATTAACTAAAACTGACACAGGTCTCTTCCCCCAAAGAAGGGCCTGCATGTTTCAGAGGCCTAGGAATGAGGACCCTGAATTCTAGTTCCAGCTGTCACGCTAACTTGCTTTGTGGTTTTCGCCATGCCGCTTCCCCTCTCTAAGCCTCGGTTTTCTGATCATCCGTACAAGAGGGTCAGACCAGATGGCCTCTATCATCCCTTCCAACTCTGACATGCTGTGCGTTCGGGTTGAACCTCCTGGAGAACAAATCTTAGTCTAATATTCATGTATCCTTTCCAGGCTGCTTAGCAGTAAAAGAGAAAAGAAAACAGTCACATAATTGAATGTGGGTGAGAAAAGCAATCCCCGCTACCCCTGTCTGTAAGGAATGTGGAGCAAAATGCCACGTGTATGATTTTTTACATGAACAATGAGAGCTTTGAAAACCCTTTCCCTTTGTGGACTGACCACAGCCCTGTGTATGCTGAGAGTTCCTGGTAGGCCTATCCCCTCCGTGGATCATTCTCCTCTTAAGGCACTGGGCAATATCTGTGCTGTGACTTTAGGCAGTTGAGAGAGTGGAGATGGATGAAAGGCGTTGAAAGAGCAAAGGTCAATTTGCAAAGAGGGTGCCAGGCTTCTCCTGGGACTCAAAGAGTAAATACAGACTCTCAAAGCTTTCCTTTGGACATCACCAATAGCTCCAGAAGCCAGTGATGACCACACAAGGCTGAAACCATGGTAAAAGAGCTGTCCTAAACCTAATTTTTAAATGTAGCCTTTAAATGGGGGAGGTTGGCTCCTGGGATTCAGTGACCCCCTAACAGCCTCCCAATGTCCTCTGCTCTCATGTTCCACAGTACCATAATCTTACAGAAAAGAGGCAAACTGTTTAAAACTGTACCTGTACAGAGATGCCACCACACTGAGTGGGGAATCTATTTATAATTTATATATATATATATGCATATTTATATATTTTTTTAAAAGTCTTCCAGAAAGAACGATTGAAAGCTATTGGGAGAAGAAAAACAAAAAGACAATGTAAAACTTTCCCAGCTATCACTCAACGAGGAGTCTCTGTTCCTGGGGTTTAAAACTCTGAGTTGAAAGCGCCAATATAAATCCTTTGAAATAATATACCTGACCAATGTACATACACACATCAAGATGGCACACTGACTGTCAAGAGAGCCCTTCCCACTGGCGCACATTCCTGAGTTCACAAAGGTGCTGTGGAGAAATGACAGAGCAGAAGTGCTGGCTAACAAATGTGAGGCAAGCCATCCAGAATTCACCACAGCCTGGGTGGAGCGGGGCCCTCACAGCCTGGCCTTGCTCAGAAGTTTTGCTGCCGCCTCTTCTTAGCCTCAATGGCATCCAGGATGGGCTGCCGCTTGGACTGGTACTTCTGCCGGATCTCTTCAATCTCCTGCTCCATCATGGGGTCCAGGGCCAAGAGCCTCTTCTGAAGGTCCTCCACTGTCCAACTCTTAAGCTAGAAGAGAAGTGGAAAGTAGAGTCACGAAGAAGCTTAGGCCAGTGGCAGAACAGTGGCGAAGGCTGCCTTCCCAGGCACCCAGAAGGGAGGGAGACAGGAGGCAGACACTATTGGGTGGTGGTGGTTCATTCCAAAGAATGGCATACCTTGAAGCTTGTCTGAGATAATCTATCCCTGGAAGAGATCTAAGTGCTAACCTCTTTGATTTAACGTACCTTGACCAGGAACTTAGTGAATAATATTCTTACTTCCGCTAGCTTTTAAATTAATTAAATATAGATTCATTGTTAGGGCATTAAAATAACAGTAACTTGCTGTACATGAAATAATGGCTGCCTCCCCGTTCTTGTTCTGTCCACAAGATGAGCATCTGGACAGCGCCCTTCACACTTTCAGGATACAACACCACGGACGATGGACGCTGACAAGATGCAGATGACAGCCCCTAACTCTGCCTTCCCACACCCCCAATGTCTCGGCACTGCCATATTATCACCAGCATTCATGTGAGGCTACTATACAGCAGGTAACACTCTAAGCTCCTTGGGAATACAGACGCAACCCTTGGCAGGGGTTGGGAGTAAGGGTGGGTAGTTGGAAAAACCTGAAACTTCTGAGATCAAGTTTCTATCAAGCAGAGAAAAAAAGGACTTGATACATAAATTAATAATAATGGCTGGCATTTGGTGATTTCTATGCACCAGACACTGAGTTCTTTACATATATGGATTCCTTTAATCTTTGCAGCAACCCATGCTATGAAGACATTATTATCCCTATGTTACAGATGAACAGCCCAAGGAGAAGGATAGCTAAGTAACCTGCCCAATGTTTCCCAACTAGTAAGTGGCAGAGCCAAGACTGAAATCCAGGCAGTGTGGCTCCAGAGTCAATGCTCTTAACCACTGTTACAGAAGAGCAGACTAGGAAAGCACAGGTCTTAGAACTAACTGAATCTTTGTTTAAAATGTGGTTCTGCCTGTTGCAGATGCCGTAAGACTGACAAGTTACCAATCTCTCCAGGCCTTCCCCATCTACGGAAGTGGGACAGCAGTGCCTCATCTTATTTAATTATAAGAATTAAATGAGATCATGGCTGTGAAGTTCTCAGCACAGTACCTAGTGCACTGTGTGTGTAAAGATGGCAGTGGGTGTTCTAAGCCTTTCTCTTCTTAAAGGCCCAGGGGTGCACCAGTGTTCAACCTGTATCTGCAGCTGTGGGGTAAGGGGCTCTGCTGCCATGTGTGAAGTGCTCACTGATTCCAAGCTGGGACAGTCTTGGCTGTCAAGGGTGGGAATGAATGCTGACATTATCCACAGTGGGTGGCAATACTTTATTCTGTGTGTTCACAACCAGTTTTAATAGGTACAGTGTTTCAAGAACTCAAAGGCTCATCCAAGTCTTACAAGAGGTCTGTTGTGTCCACATTTAGAAAATCATGATCCTCAGCCCCTTCCTGCGGCCTCAACAGGAAAGCAGCATAGAAGCTGGGTGAAGGAGCCTCTTTCTGTCTACCCTTCCTTGAGTGGGTGGGGTGTGAGCAAGTATGAAGTGCTACAGTGGCCTTCCTAGAAATGACCTGTCACCACAGGAATTTTCCTTGGCCTGCTTCAGGGAGGGTGTCTGAGAAGTGAGAAACCCTAATAGTTCAAGACGAAAGGTTCTTTGTAACGTAAGGATGGAAAGACTTGAGAGTGTGGGTAAATACTGGAAAGCTGGGCTGAAAAAAAAAATGCGTCTTTCCAGCCTGTGGTTTTATACTACCTTAGAGGCTGGTGTTCTTGGCCCAAGGACATCCTGAAGAGCGGTGCTTGCCTAGTCTTTGGCATTTTCAATTCGTTCTGCAAAGAGAGAATTCCCCAAGCCTAATACTGAATGTAACAAGTAGTTAAGAATGTAATCTTTAGAATCACAGGTCCTAAATCTGCACTGGCTATTTAACCTTAAACAGTAATTTCGCCTCTTGAGCCTCAGTTTCCTCCTTTGGAAAACAGACAATACTAGTTTGTTCCTCTACCCTTCGTCTGTACTAAGACTTAGATGAGATAATGGTGTGATGGTCTTAGCTCAGAACTTCACATGGTATGTGTTGGAGAGACAGTAAATATTCCATTTATGGAATAATATTGCCTAGTCTTTGGTATTTGGTACCACTCCTGGTACCAATGTACTGTATTAATCTGTTTTAATACACAAGCTCTCTTCTTTTGTCTGCTACCATGTGAGACGTGCCTTTCACCGTGCCTACATTATGGAATGTAAATATTCCATAAATGGAAGTTATCACTGTTGTTATTGTTGCTATTGTTATTCATATTATTGCTATTGTTATTCATATTGTTGTTACTGTATATATGATTGGTAAGTCTCTAATCTTCTACAAAGAAGCTGTTTCTATAACCTCTAATTCAAGTTAGAATCAAACATGTGAAAAAGAAAATACTCTATTCTATTTCGTGTTAATGCCTAAGGACTGGTACATAATTCCTGTTAACTCATGTACAGTTTAATGAAGTATTTTTCACCCATCCACTTATAAATACTCATTAAGCACCTACTATGGGTCAGGTGCTGTTCGAGGCACATAGGCTACTTCAGTGAAAACAAAACAAAACAAAATCACTGCCCCTGTGAAGCTTGTATTTTAGTGAAGCAAGGAAAACAGCAATAAACACAGCAAATTAGTAAATTATTTTTACATTAGAAGGTGCTCTGGAAAAAAAGAAAATAAAAAATAGCGTGAAGGAAGGGGAGCTGGGAATCAGGAAGGCTGACTTGCTTTCCATCCAGCCACTAGGATGAAGAGTAAATTGCAAAATGAAGAAATGTACGTTAGTGGACCTGCACTGACTTTGCAACTTGTTCGGCAACTTTGGTCAAGCCCCTTCTCCTCCTTAGACCTTAAATTCCCCGTTTGTGAGAGAGGGCTGACTAGATGATCTCAGAAGTCTTTCCAGACTCAGTGTTTCTCAGTGTATGATCTATGGATCACTTGTATCAGAATCACTTGCTAAAAATACAGATTTCTGAGCCCCAAGCCAAAGCTACTTAATCAGACTCCCTGGGAGCTGATGCACAGGATTTTGCATTTTAAAGGAGCTATGCATGCTGGTCATGGTGGCTCATGCCTGAATTCCAGCACTGTGGGAGACCTAAGTGGGAGGACTCGTTGAGCCCAGGAACTCCAGACCAGCCTGGGCAACATAGTGAAATCCCATCTCTATTGGGGGAAAAAATTAGCCAGGTGTGGTGGTACACAGTCCCAGGTACTCCAGAGGCTGAGATGAGAGGATTGAGCCCGCTGTGAGGCCGCAGTGAGCCTTGATTGAGCCACTGCACTCTAGCCTGGGAAACAGAGCAAGTCCTTGTCTCAAAAATAAATAAAAATAAAATATATAAGCGATACAGGTATTTCTTATAAATCCTCAAGTTTGATAAACATGACTCTGTATCTTCCTTATTTTTCTGTTAGTAAAATTCTCACAAAGTATTGCTGCCTGTCTCTGGTCTAAAGCTTCTCCCAGGTTTCCAGTTTCTAGGCAGCTTTGTTGCCCTTGATTCTAAGCTGGGGGCAACAAGCACCCTTGCTTTATCTCAGCCACATTCAGACTAATTTATGGCTGTCCTAAGAACTTTGGGGCTTAAGTTACATCTGACCTATTAGAACACAGCCAGCCAGGCACTGCTGATGACTCAGTCACATCATCCAGATATGGATTTTTCCGAAAAACAAGCTCAGACAATAGTTTGATGGCGCCACGTGTAGCATTTCACCTTCCTGGTCCTTGGTGGCATAAATACATTTCAAATGAATATCTTACAGTAAAATAACTGTGATTCTACAGTTTTGCTACAGCCAGAATCTTAAAACAGGAAATTCTCAACCAGCCATGTAAGAAGCTTGAGGTGTTTCCGCCAGGTATGGGAAATATCCACTCAGTATCTCATCTCTCCCATAGGATTCGAACATCCTCTTTATTCTGTGATCCCCATACTTCATATTTGCACATCCAGATCAGCTCCTGATTATCAGTCCCTAATTATCTCAGGAAAATCTATGATATGGTTTGGCTGTGTCCCCACCCAAATCTTATTTTGAATTGTAGCTCCCACAATTCCCACATGTTGTGGGAGGGACCCGGTAGGAGGTAATTAAATCTCGGTAATTAAATAGCATGGGTGGGTCTTTCCCATGCTATTCTAATGATAGTGAATAAGTCTCATGAGATCTGATGGCTTTTTTTTTTTTTTTTGAGATGGAGTCCGGCTCTGTCACCCAGGCTGGAGTGTAGTGGCACAATCTCGGCTCACTGCAATCTCTACCTCCTGAGTTCAAGCAATTCGCCTCCTCAGTCTCCCAAGCAGCTGGGATTGCAGGCGCCCGCCACCATGCTCAGCTAATTTTTGTATTTTTAGTAGAGACGGGGTTTCACCATGATGGTCAGGCTAGTCTTGAACTCCTGACCTCAGGTGATCCGCCCATCTCGGCCTCCTAAAGCGCTGGGATTACAAGCATTAGCCACTGTGCCTGGCCAATCTGATGGTTTTATAAAGGGGAGTTTCCCTACACAAGCTCTCTTCTTGTATCTGCCGCCATGTGAGATGTGCCTTTCACCTTCTGCCATGATTGTGAGGCTTCCCCAGCCATGTGGAACTGAATCCATTAAACTTTTTCTTTTGTAAATTGCCCAGTCTTGAATATGTCTTTTATCAGCAGCATGAAAACAGATTAATACAGTAAATTGGTACAGTAAATTGTCAACCCCAGGAGTGGGTGCTACTGAAAAGGTACCTGAAAATGTGGAAGTGACTTTAGAACTGGGTAACAGGCAGAGGTTGGAACAATTTGGCGGGCTCAGAAGAAGACAAGAAAATGTGGGAAGGTTTGGAACTTCTTAGAGACTTGTTGAATGGCTTTGTCCAAAATGCTGATAATGATATGGACAATAAAGTCCAGGCTGAGGTGGTCTCAGATGGGAATGAGGAACTTGAATTA